TACATGTACACACTTTAGGATGTGTAGAATATTAGTGCTAGTGGACAGAAAACAACGAACTTACTCAATGAACTTTGATAAAGTTATTTTCTTAGTTATTAATTTCCATGTACTATACAAACTGGAAAATAGACAGAATATTAGTGTTAGTGGACAGAAAACAATGAAGTTACTGATCCAATATCTTGAACAAAATAATAAGTTAGAAACGCAGAACTCGAATCTCATGAGGAAGAAGAATATACCAAGTGTAAAAGGAAAGAAAACACTCCATACTAACGAGATAAAAGATCTCTAAAGGAAGATGATGAGTTCCTGGAATAAAGAGGCTGCTCTATATATTAAGTTTAATATATCTATATCTATCTATACTACACTATAAAATAAGCAAAATTCTTGCACCTAATTACTTTGAAACTCGCCTGACTTTCAAATAAAAAAATCGTGACCTTTGAAGTTTTTATAATACATAAATTGGTTAATCAATATGAGATAAATACAAAAACAGAAAAAAAAAACTTTATACCTAAAATTTAGCCTTTTATAATTTTTGGTAATAATAAGTGGTTTTAAAATGAATTGATGATAATAACTTACAATAAAATAAAATATAGATTACATTACATTGCCTTGTAAAAATTGATATTTTAAAGTTGAGCGGAAATTTTAAAAATAGTCAAATAAGTAATTTAAAACACTTAATCATAACAAGAGTTAAAACTAACAATAAGAATTATATTTAATGTTATTTAGGAATAAGCTGAGAGTAGATATAATCATGTACTTTGATTTTAACATAATTTTATCATATTGTTCATATTAAATAATTACAATTTGAGTATCAATATAGTGTAAAAATTATTATTTTATAGTTAATATCAATTACAATTCTTGAATGATGCACATATTATAAGGATCTTTCCTGGTTTAAATATTTCCTATTCTGTTTTAGTAATTTATTTAGATATAATTCTAGAGGATTTATAGGGATATGATTTTATCCTACTGTAAATAGTTGTCAGTTAGCTTGTAAACTCTATAAATTATGTTGTATTCTCCATGGTTATCAATAACAATAAGAAATAAAATTGTTCTTCAAAATTTATATCGTAGCAGAGCCAATGAGAAAACTAACTCTTTTTCTACCCAAACTTCAACAACCAACTCTTCTTCTACCCAAACCTCAACCTTTCCTCAATCTTTTCCAGTTGATATGAACCTAAATGCCTCCATCCAAATCATAACAATCGGATTGAATGGTAGGAATTTTTTGGAATGGGCTCAATCACTAAAACTAGCCATAGATAGGATAGGGAAACTAGGCTTTCTTACTGGGGAAAAAACAAAACCTAAGGAATCTAATCCTCTTTTTCGAAAGTGGAGATCAGAAAACTACTTGATCACTTCCAGCTGGTTCCTCAATTTAATGGGGGAATCTATTAGGAAGCCATACATTTTTATGTTTGCAGAAGAAATGTGTGTTGTAGTTCGTGGGACCTATTCGGATTTGGAGAATCATTCAAAACTTACGATCTTAAAACCAAGTTGTGGTACTCAAAGCATGGTGAAACTGATATCACTACATATTACAATAATATATTGGCCATTTCGCGAGAATTTGATCTCTGTTACAATGAAGAATGGGAAAATCCTAAAAATTTAGCATGGTTTAAGAAAAGAGAAGAAACTGATCGAGTTTTTATTTTATTATCCGGTGTGAATGTAGTTTTTGATGAAGTTAAAGGGTGTGTTTCAGGCAGATTCCCTCTCCGTTCTCTCCGTGAGGAATTCTCTGAATTAAGACAAGGACGGAAATGAGTCATGACTTCGCAACTCGCACAACTTGAAGTCTCGACTTTAGCTACCCAAGGTATTGATGTTGCCTCTGACACGAAGAAAAAAAAACTTGGTGTGATCATTGTAAACAATATTGGTACACTAAGGAAACCTATTGGATACTTCATGAAAAGCCTTCTAATTGGCAGCCAAGGAAGAAAAAGCAACCAAGATGGAAGGTTCTAAACACTGTGTCTGGGACCACTACACAACGTAATTCTACATTTGTACTACCTCAATCTTCATTTACAAAAGAACAAATCCAACATCTTTTTGAACTCTTTAAATCTCCACAATTTTCAAATATTTCTGTCACTCCTGCTCCGTATGTTCATCAAGGTAATCAAACATTGTTTGTTTTTCTATCCTCCATTATTTCTAATACATGGGTAATAGATTCGGGTGCCACAGATCATATGAAACTTTATTGTGATAATAAGGGTGCTATTAGCATTGCTAATAATCCTGTCCAACATGATCAATGAAGCATGTTGAAATTGATCAACATTTCATCAAAGAAAAGATTGAATCTGGTGCAGTTATTTGTATACCGTTTGAGCCAACTTCTCAACATACTATAAATATATTTACAAAGGGTTTATTAAAACCAAGTTTTGACATGTGTGTTAGCAATTAGTTGGGTCTGAAGGACATCTTCAATCCAACTTGAGGGGGAGTCTTGAATGATGCACATATCACTGTTTTGAAAATTTGACCGGACCGGCCAACCGAGAACCGACCAGGTTTCGGTTCGATAGATTCTAAAAACCGTTTGGTAGTCGGGCCGTTAAAAACCACTGGTTTTTTGTGAACCGTGCATGAACCGCACTAGTTGAACAAGCTAAAACCGGTTGATAACCCCCCCCCCCCCCCCCCCAAAAAAAAAAAAAAAAAAAAAGAGCTAAATGAACTTTCCTTTTTGCTGGAATCTTGACTTTCTGACCAACTTCAACGGGACCAATTGTAACTCCATAGTTTCCATCAAAAGAATTTACCTTGGTAAAAAAAACATGTATTGTATTGATTGTGGCTAAAAGATACAGGCGAAATATAAATAGAGTACACAATTACAATTAACCTCCTTTAACTATCAAGAAATCTAATATAGTCTAAATACTTTGACTAATATTCCCCCTCAATCTAATGTCGGGTATCGACTTGTAGCTTGGACGTAAGACTCACAAACCGTTGAGTAGGTAGCGGTTTAGTGAAGACATCCTCTATCTGATCTTCTGTAGAGATATTTTGAATGGATAGCTTCTTATCAGCAACCTTTTCTCGAACGAAGTGAAAATCAACATCATCATGTTTGGTTTGTGCGTGGAAGACTGGATTGGCGGATAGGTAGGTGGCTCCAATATTATCGCACCACAAAACTAGTGTTGTCGCAGTGGGAGCACGAAGTTCATGCAGGAGAAATTCTAACCAAGTAACTTTAACGACAGTATCAGTTAAGGCTTTGTATTCAGATTCAGTGGAGGAGCAGAGACAGTCTTCTGCTTTTTGGCTGACCACGAGACAAGATCAGGACCAAGATATATAGCCAATCCCCCGGGGTTTTATATTCAGAAAAATCTAAATAGATGTGAAAAACACCACCAAAGTTTATTATACAAAATGCTTCTTTTTTATGTGTTTATTTTTAGTTCAACCGAGTTTTTATAAAAACCAGTCGGTTCATTCCGCTTCGAAAATCGACATAAAACGGATGATAGTTGAACCGTTCCTTCTCTGATTCCTGGTCCAACTGGTTTCACCGACCGACTCAAACTGGTTTTTAAAACATTAGGTGTGCGACTATGTAACGGTTGTAACTAGGGATGAGCATACGCAGATACCCGCCTAATTTCGTCAGAACCAGAACCGGAACCAACAGTTCCTGTGAAGTTAGAAACGGAACCAGAACTGGTCTAGATGGTTCCTAAATTTTTGGAACCAGTCTTGGAACTGCGGTTCTGATTCTGGGACCAGGTAACCTGGTTATGTCAATTTTTTAGTTTTGTTAATACAAAATAATTCTTATCCATTGAAACAAAAAGTAAATGCTATAACTAGTTCATTATGATACAAGTTACAAAAAGTAAATGCTATAACTAGTTCATTGTGATGCACGGGGATCAATATTAGGAAGCAAAAGTCAAAGAAATCACAGTACCTTCTTCCCCCAGAGTAAAACTGGTGAATTAAAGCCTCCACCATCTCCAACAAAGAGAAACAACTCTTCACAATCTTCATCTTCATCAAATGATCTTGAATCGGCAACCTTTGTTGTAATACTCTAACGACTGCTACCATCTAGACGAGATTTTCCTTCTCTGGATCGTCAAACCCGTACACCAGCGGCAGGGGCGCATCATCTAGGCACTTTCGGATCTTCATCTTCATCAAACTATATTTTCTTTTTGTAGCGAAATCCTTGTTTCTAAGTTCAGTCGTTTTCCGATAAAAGCAACCCATTTAGAGTTGAAACCGCAAACCGCACCGCATATGCGGTTTGAGTTTTTTGGAAACCGCAAACCGCACCACAAAAGCTCTAAACCGCATTATGTGGTGCGTTTTCATGAGGTCGGTTTGTGTGGTTTATGCGGTTTGATAAATTGTTTCAATTTATAACTTTGGTTGTTATTCATTTCATTTAAACACTTTCAAAATTTATTAATTATATTGCATACCCTTTAAAAGGCATAGATATTGCAAACAAAAAAACCACATAATGTTTTGCTAAGTTGTTATAACTTATGAAATTTGATATCATAGTCTTTTAAGCCTTTACTTACTATATTTAACCATCATGATGTAGAAAAAAGTTATTGGACAGTATGAAGGATTTTGTGATTGGAAACTTTGATATATATATATATATATATATATATATATATATATATATAATATATATATATATATATATATATATATATATATATATATATGACGTGGTGCGGTTTGAACCGCAGTTTGGTAACTATAAACCGCAAACCGCACCACATAGTGCGGTTTGACAAAATTACAAGCCGCAAAACGCACCACGAAATTCTAAACCGCATTATACGGTGCGGTTTGGTGCGGTGTGGGCGGTTTGTGTGGGTTGCGGTTTTTTTACACCCCTAGTTGACACCACACTAGCCTTATGGGTTTTCCTCTCAACTCAAATTGATTTAATCGCGATGACAATCCGACCACAATTGGTGATGTGGCATGTTTGGTCAACAAAGGAAAAAGTTAATGTGGGGAAATTGGTCAATAAATGCCAATGTGGCAGGCAAAGGCGTAACCGGGTGACCCCTTCACTTTGGCCAAAAAGGCGTAATCGACCCGACAAAACGACTTCGTTCCCTAATAAAGCCACAAAAATAATATAAGGACTTAATGGGTCAACCCTAGAAAGTTCATATGTCGTTTTTCATTTTCCCTTTTGAAAAAAAAGTTACAAATATGATTTATTAGCATGTTACCTCTAAAATTCAATTAGATAGTCCCAACAAATGTCTTAATCATCAATTTTGTTACGACCAATTCGTATAAGTATTAATTATTTTTAAATTTTAATATTTCGGAACCAGTTTCGACGGTTACCCGACGGTTAACAATTCCTAAAAAATGGAAACCGGAACTTGAACCGATCCTTAGCGGTTCCCACTTTTAGGAACCATAACCAATAACCACGGTTCCGGTTTCAAAACTAACAGAGACAGTTCCGGTTGCAAAAGCAGGTACCTGCTATCCGTGCTCACCCCTAGTTGTAACAGTGTTTCGAGAGTAACTTAGGCGTGGGAATGTGGGATGATATACCGTTGCTTCAACTTCGGCCGATGCTACTTGACTATTAATTGTGGCCCAAATATACCCATAAAAAGTGATGGCATCAGGCAGATTGTTTTCCTGGGCCATGGCCCTGCTACCGCATTGGTCGTTATCCCTAAAACTTATTCATTTTAAAAGCTATGTTCTCTTCCCGCTAGTGAGTGTAGTTCCGCTGCCCACGTACTTCCAGTTTAATGGCCAAACATTCACCTAGGGATGATAATTACGATCAATTGAACATCAACGCTCTATTCGATTCCTTGTTTGCTGTTTCCGATTCCGCCTTAACGCCTCGTTCCCAAGTTTAACAAAAGAAAAGAAAAGAAGAGAAAAGAAAGTCACGAGAGAAAAGAAGAGAAAGGAAAGGAAAACAAAATTTTCTTTTGTGTTCCCGAGTTGGAGAGAAATGGAAGGAAAATGAATCATTTTGTTCTTTATTTCCAAATCCTCCCAAATCGGAAGGAAAGTTAGGAGGGAAAGTGATCCTCGTATTTCCTTCCACTTCCTTCCAATTCCCTCCTTTAATGAAACTCGGGAACACCAATTTCTTTTATTTTCTTCTCATTTCCACCCATTTCTTTTCCTTTCTCTCCTTAAGTTGAACTCGGGAACGGGGTGTAATAGACGCCTCATTCGATGGCTTTATCGAATCTAGATCTACTGATTCCCACCAAAACGATGATGATTTTATCGAACGTGCTATTCACCTCTCATCCGTATTGCTCGAAGCTGCCAAGAGATCCGCTCGTAAACGCTCTTCCGTTCATAATGCATCTGTCTGGCCTCTCACTCCGGACCTCACAATCAAGGTACGTATTTCGAGTTTCAATTTGCATGGTCTGTTAAATTTTGTAATTGAAGTGATTTTTGTGGTGTTTATTTATCATGTGATGTTATTAATTTCTAGGTTTTCTCTATGCTTGATACCCAAAGCCTATTCTGTGCCGGGGCTACGTGTTCGTTTTTTAAGATGTGCACCATAGATCCTTTGTCTTATATTAATATTAACTTGGGTACTTTAATACCCAAGATCAAACCCAAGATCAACAACAACAAAGATGCTATGGTATCTACAATGATTCAACGTGTTGGAAGTGCGCTTCAGTAATATCTCTTAATTCCCTCTTGTGATATGGCTCATTTTGTCATTTAATTATATTTGGTAAAATTATTATTGTCGGGTAGTATTTTCTGGAAGCCCTTTTCATTCAAAGAGCATATAATAACTGCCAATTCAATGTATGATTTACTATTTGCATCCATGCATGCTTGTTTCATATACCCAGTTCTGTACACACAGTTGATGATATCATGATACTCACACGGCTTTATATATAATGAGCTTTGAAGTGTCATAGCTTGTTATTTTTAAGTTCATAGGTTGAGGACAGTTTATAATCAATTTGAGATTAGCGTTTTCAATTTGTGATTACCATTGGGCCTTAGAAGCACGAGGATAACATTGATTCCGTGAGTTTTATATGAATGCATATAATTTTGCATTATGTTGTCTGGTATCATATAACCGTTGTCATTAATAGTTCATTACACTACAGTACGCACACAATTACTAATATCTACTTCTTCAACTTAAGGTCTATTAAGCTTGGTGTAGAGCCGCCTTATATCATCGATGATGATGATGATGAGTGGGGTATTAAGCGGTCCCAACAACTTGAGGAGTCACCATTCTTAACAGGCTCTTGCTTGAGTTCTTTGAGTGCGAATGGTGGTGTACCTGGGTATGTTTTCTTTATTTCGGAATGAATGGATTATTATTGTACAAGTATATAGTATTTTTTGACACTGTATGTTGTAATTGCAAGGTCTCGTTTAAGAAGTTTGCAACTTTACAAAATTAAATTGAAGGATAAGACAACACTTTCGGATGCACTTTCGGCATGTTTATCGGCTTGCCATTCTCTTGTAGAACTAAAATTTGTGGGCATGTAAGTCCCTTGGCTTTATTGATAACTTCTCCCTTCAGTGTGCTTATAGTTGTCAATAGCGACCACAGCGATCGCTATAGCGAATAGCGTAGCGTATAGGTATAGAGGCACTATTGAGTGTGTGCGACAAATAGCGACATTAGGGTCTTTTTTTCATTTTTTTTCTCTTTTTTAAGGGATAAATCAGAATAAAAGTGATTAAGGATGAAGTTTTCAACGTTTTTAGCTAGTTTAATGGTTTGTTTCTTTATTATTTATTGATTATAAATTTATAATAGCTATAGTAGTTGAACATAATAAATATTTTTAAAATTTTTTATGCCAACTATGAGTGTGCTTGTTAATGAGATTGCTCCTTAATTAAGTCTTATAATAAGTCCCTTGGCTTTGTTTCTCAAAATCACGTTTACCTAAAAATTACTGACCTAGGGAAGAATGTAAAGGCTGACCTTTTATTCGCACTTGATGACTGTAGAGTAACTATAAGCTTCATATTGTAGTTTTCTACATTATAAAAGTATAGAGAGAAGACAAATGGCATTTTTGCAATAGTACGCTTTTTACAGTCATCTTGAACTACTAGTTAAATCTTGATATCACTTGTTATTTGTATTGTGCTTTCTGAAATGTCTATTTCTTTTATGAAACACTAATAAAAATGTTTTCTTGATGACAGGATGCATGTTTATATCAGTCGTATACTGGAGGCTGTGAGTAGATATTGTCGCTTGCTAGAGCGTTTTATCTTTGAATTTAGCGGAGGTTTGTCATTTCTAAACTTTGTTGATGGATTTTTTTTTAACATTTGAAAAGACTGTAGAATTAGTTCGATCATTGAGATCTCTTCTCACACGCAATCGCAATGCAGGCAGACCTGATTTGGTAGAAACCTCGGTGTGCAAAGAATTTGTGGTCAACTGCCCTAAGATAACCACTTTGGTTCTGCAAGCATGCGAACTGTTTCCTTCTGAAGCTTTCGAGCTGGTGAAGGTATCCATTGTCTCTCTCTTTCTCTCTCTGGTATTTGAAGAACACATGAATATGTTGACCTTTTAACATGTGAAATTGCCCTGTTGATTATTTATATGTGTTAGTAATCTCCATTGCAGGGGTTTAACGAGTTAAAATATGTTGACTTCTCAAATTGTTATTCACTCACTGGCGCCTTTCTAGAGTAAGTGGCCTTGAACTTTTATTAAATTACATCCCTGATGTCCTTCGACGATCCTTGTTATTTTTTTGTGTTATTTATTAATTAGAAAGAGTCATTTGGTGGTCATATTTCCTATTATTTGGGTGCAAAAATTTAGTGGTTGAAGTTGTAGGAACATAAGGGTTATAAATTATTTTTTTCATTTGTATGTTGTGGAGAGTATTTATAATCATGAGTAACGTTTGTTCGTTCTCCAAACATTTAACATTTAATTGTGTGGTTTTCCATCATTTCACAGGGACCTTGCCACCAAAGGTGGTGGAAATAGTTTGGAGGTCATGATTTTACGTCGGGTGTATAATCTTGATAAAGTAAGAATATTTATTTCCCCTTGTTTCCTTACATCTTTTCCTACTATCTTCCTTTACTAACACATGCCATATATGTGATATTGTGGACAGGTGGAGGTTATAAAGTTTTTGAGAGCTCTTCTTGCAGGAAAGTTCAGGCAACTAAGACATTTTGTGAGTGTGATTTTCTGCTTTGTTTTTCTATTATCGTCGCTTGAATTAGTTTATTTAAGCGTTAATTAAGGTCATAATCAATCAGTCAACTTGTGAAGTTGTGGTCATTTGGTCACTTAAATCCTTTTAAGTTTTAAAAGGTGATTAAACTTGTTAATATTCGCTAAAGTGGTCATCATGACCTACAATAACTGGTTTCCACATTTTTTTAGAGCCAGGTTGCATGTTAGTGCTCGATTCTTATCCATTATATTCTTGAAATCTAATTAAAAAAAATGATGTGAGTCCCTTTCCCTTCAACAGGACATATCCGCAAGCGGTGGTTTAGTAGATACTGGTGACGGCAGTGATTTACGTTATGGTGTGAGGTACGGCGGACAATTTATCTATCTTTGATGTCTGTCCTGTGTCGATCTGTGACTATGTGAATAAAAAAGTTTTATCTTACCAATTGTATATGTCTGTATGTCTTGTGCAGTGACATTATTCCTTCAAAGAAACTATTGAAACAAAGACCTAATTTTTGCCTTGTTAACGAAATCTGTTGAAACAAAGGCCTGATGTCTTGTGCAGTTTCATATGATATCAGGACAGTATGTAGATTACTTCTACTGATTGAATTTGCAGCACTTTTGTTGAGATGAACAATTGAGCATCAACTCTTTGTACTTTGGTGCTAGCTAGTTTTGCTTTTTTTTTTTTTGGCAGATTTGTGTTGAACTTGGCCATGAGCATCAACATAATAATGCACTCATGTTATAATACCTAAACTCACAAAACCTATAAAAGATTGAATCATTTAATTGACTAATCAGCTATGATATCATTAAATGAAGCTTAATTCATCGCTTTACATATTATCATGTTGTTTCCATATGATTTTAAGTAGTTTATTAATATTATATTGTGTATTCTGAATTATAGGATTTTTTTTATTCGATCGAATTAAATAAAGACTGAAAAGGGAGTAAATTAAACGAATATTTGTCGGTGCAGATGACAAAACACGCTTCATCTCTACATACATGAAATGACCATTTCTATTTTCTATTTATTTCAATTTGTTTATAATTTATCAACTATATTAGATTAATTAAAATTTTAAAACTTGTATTATTTTCATGTCTAACTCTCTTCTCTGTCCTCTTTCTCAATTCTAACAATCAACTCATGTCACCACCAACAACCACCTGTTGTCACTACCACTTCAAGTCACTACCATACCACTTCAAGTCACCACCAAATCTAATACTAAAAACAGAATCTGAAACTCAAACCCAAATGAAATAAACATTGATTTTTTGAACTCTAAAACCAAACCAAAATTTGAAACTTGTAAGCAACACCAAATCCTAGTCTAAAACCTTTAATCAACATAGATTGTCGAGATGAAATTGCCAAACCTAAAATCAGTCATAAAATCCCTCTAGCAATTCAAGCACCGGATGATGGAGATGTAGAATCGAAATCCTAGATCCATGTCATGACTTCATTGTCAACTCCGACAACCACCATCTGTCACCACTAGATAAGAGAAGAGAGAAGAGTTGTCAAAATATAGATTTATGAATGGAGTGTAGATCTCAAATCTAGATATAAAAGGGTTGTTGATGGCGTACCCTAAATCACATATCAAACTTAGAAGAGAGAAGATAGGACGGCTGCAAAGGAGTTATTGTTAGTGTACCCTAAATCACATATCTGAACGGAGTTGTTGGAATATAGATATTCGTCTCTCTCTCTCTCTCTCTCTCTCTCTCTCTCTCTCTCACACACACACACACACAAGCACACATACAAGGTTATTGGAATATAGATCTTCGTCTCATTTTCCCTCTCTCTCTCTCTCTCTCTCTCTCTCTCTCTCTCTCTCTCTCTCTCTCTCTCTCTCTCTCTCTCTCTCTCTCGCGGTATCGCACAAGCACACATACAAGGTGTCTGTCTGTGTTCCTTTACTCCGGTGAGGTTACCGACGATTGGTGGTTCGATAGTAGAGGTGATGGTGATGATTTTTAAGAGATGATCTTAAAGAAAGAGGTACAAAGATATATTAGGTTGGGTGGGTAGGTGTGGTGGGGGTGGAATCTATTTTTTAATACCAAATAAATTATAATTAAATTAAAAATAAAATATTGATGCCAATATAGTCATTTTATGTATGGTAAATGATACAACATGTAAAGTTAAACTAACCAGGGATGACGTGTGCAACTTTTAAACAAACGAGAGACGGTCTCTAGCATCGTTAGACGAAAATACCACTGCGTGCAAGGCACGTGGGATACTTAAAATGGAAACCACTAACGACTAACGATGATAGGGACTAACTGTGCAAGGAAATGATAACGTAGGCACGGTCCGAGGTAGTTTTTGAAAAGAGGGATTGGACGTGTCTTTTGAGACATGCTCAAGGGACGATTCATGTAAATTACTACATTAAATTTTATATATTAGACTAATTTATGTAAATGGTCAATGTCGTATAGAGAAGTAGGCAACTTTGGTACAAATTTTTTTGTTATGGTGTTGGTCCCTATAGCTTATGTTTATTATAACATTGGTTCTTATCATTAACATTCTTAGAAATCTAATGATAATTAAAAAGAGATTTGTAACCTATTTTATAATTTAGTAAATATTTATGTTATTAATTTTGTTATATGATATTAATATCTAGAACCCTACCCTCATCCAACTTTTTTTCTCGTTCATCCCTAACGTATTATCCTCCCACCTCAGTTATTCACTTCCTTTCTCGTATTTCCACCATGATGACCACCATTTGAAATGGTTTCCCCACCACCCAATGTGACTCCTCGGTATTTTGAGGTTTAGGGGAGACGAACTGCATTTGGCAATAAGACTAACCGACCCCATTTTTGGACCGGGTCATGCACCCTTTTCTCGGCCGTCCTTAAATGTAGCTCCAAAGATCTGAACATGGGTTAATGGCTTACTTACCATATCTTCCACATGACTTACCATACGAGCTATCTAAAGATGGTTAATGATGGCCATTTGAAATTAGATAAATTGATAGAATTTCATACATGTAGAAGAAGTTGAAACTTGTAGGGTTTATCAAATGAAATCTAATTAGGACAACAAGAACACGCTTTTGAAATAAGGAAGAAGAAGCAAAAAAACAACCCCGTGGGATTTTTCATGGTTATTGACATGTTCTTTGGAGTTTGAAGCAACTCCATAGGTGTTTTATGATGAAAGTATATGAATCTAGCATTGGGTTCGGGGTTTTGTGCATGTTGGGAATTTTCAAGCCCCATGCAAGCTGATTAGTACATTTAGGGACATTTTATGATTTAAGGTTTTAGATCTTTTGAATTGGATAAAGTTGAAAACTTTATCCATTAAGAAACTTGTGGGATCCAAATCTGAAAGTTAGAGGCTTGTACTTAATGGATTAAGTTGTTTTTAAGAATATGAGTTTGGCCACGGCATGATGCGCCTTTTGGGGTCGCGGCATGCTTTACAAAGGAAGAAAACAAATCTAGTAGCAAGAATCCTTGGTGCTGTTAGATCATCTCAACAAGAACACCAACGTTTATTACAAGACATTCGTAACTCTCCTTCTGGATTAGAAGGATTTCCTTTAAAGTAAATGAAAAATGAAATATTTTAAGATGCTCAAGACCTATTTGATGATCCCTATAAATATTTAAATATTTTAAATTTTATTTTGGTGTATACCTTCAATGTAGGGTATTTCGTTTTAATGTTTTTCAAGATTGTTAGTTTTCATAAGTGTGGTTAAATGTATGTGTAAACATTGGGTGTGTAAACTCTTTTATCAAAATTTATTATCAATATTTGATTACAGGTTTGATATCATTATTAGTCACAGAAAATCAAGAAAGATAGTTCAAATTTTGATATGACAAAAGTAGCCAAATTGTCAAAAGATTTTATCAAATGTGTTGGCAATAAATGAAGACTTGACAACCATTATCAAAAGAAAAGAAGAAAAGTCTGAAGACTTGACAACCTATGTGGGCCACTTACAAAGTAAGAAAATAAAAAACAATAGTGAAGATATCAAGAAATTTATCCTATATAACAAGATAAAGATTTCATATTTGAACATTCAAAAAATTTCATTCTCTTAAATGTATAGTTTATGTCTAAGAAATCTCCTAGAGTTTCTCTATCTACCTCATGTTGTTCAAAAACTCTAGATTTCCAGATCATCCTTATTACAAATGTATGTACTGATTGTACGTCGAGTTTAATCGAAAGTGATACTATCTAAAATGCATTTTCCCATTCTTGTTATGTCATTATTTTCTTGAATTTATTTATCCTTTAAAATATTAATTGAAGTTTTTATAGTAAACTTATTGTTATAATCTCGTTGATGCATTTAAGGTGTGTGTGTGTGTGTGTGTGTATATACACACACACACACACACAGGGGCGCAACATATTTTTAAAACCACATTAGCAACACCTTGGTATTCGACATCCGAAGTGTGTCAGGATAGTCAACCTACTCGATGTCAATTTATGCTAAACCACATTAGCAACACCATGGTATTCAACCTCAACGTGTATTGGGACAACCGACCTGGTCGTTGTTAGTTTATGCTATAAGACGTGTTGAATGATTATTATAGAGTATAAGATCATAATTAAGAAGACATTGAACACGATGTAGTAAACACTATAAAGCTACCATCTGGGATTCAAGAGGTGCATACATGTGGAACGAACTACATATGAGACATCAGATTGGGTGAATGTGAGGTATTGAAGTGCTCCGACAAAGCTGCATATGAAGTGGGTTGGAGTAAGGGTTCTCATTATTGGTATTAACTTTTCCTTTTTATCGATGAGAGTGAGAGTAGGTTTTAAGATGACATTCCAGTACTTCCATAATATATTTCTTTTAACATAAAACAATCCACTTGTATGACAGAAAATAGTGACATCAAGAAGATAGCTAAGAGGTCCAAGATCCTTCATGTGCAAGTGTATCCATGATTTTGGTGCGAAAGGTGATTCGTCGATGCTTCAAATGCACATTCATTAGGGGATATAAGGTTACCGTAACCGACTCCATTAATGAAATAATAATTAATAGGTTTAAAGTAGAGTTCATTTTGTGAAAAAAATAGTTCTAAAATGGAAAAATGAAATACATAGGACATTTTATTGAATAAACCCAATTTACGTGGTTAACGACTCCAATAATGAAATAACAACGAATAGGTAAAAGTTACATTTACTTTGATATAAAAGTTTTAGGTCTAAAATGGAAAAAATGAAAAAACATATGGTCTTCTATGGAATAAATACTCTTTTACAATTTCAATATTAGGGTTGTTTGATAGTTGTTGATTAATTTTTTTTAAACGACAAACACACACACACACTATCTACGCTACTCCTAAACTACTTATTTGGTCTCCATGAGAGAGAAAGAGACTTGAACCCTCAACATTTGGTTGAGGGACACCTTTTCTGCAAACACCCGATACTGCTAGGCAACAAATCCTTTGGTAGTTGTTTGATTGATTCAATCTAATTGAGTTATAATGGTTAATTGAGTTAAATCAAACTTCTTACCAAACCTAATAAGAGACATATCAATTTTAATTGTAAGACCATATAAGAGGCTTTTAATTGTGATATAAAACGGTGTTATCAATTGTGAGACCCAACCTATACCTAATAAGAGACATATCAAAGAGCCCTTGTGGACATCATTTGTAATTTTATGTTTGGGTGCAATCTTGAACGTGGATACAAACCTTGGGGTCTAACTTAAACTTTATGCAATTTATCGTCTTTGTCCTGTGTCTGAATACGCGCCTTTCTTTGGTCGTCGTCGAACAACTCAATGTCCGCAACTGCGGCACACTCGCGTTGAAATTTTGAGGTAATTTTCACGCAATTTAGATGTTATCGGTACTGAATAGTAATACTCGGTTTTTTTATTAATATTGTTAATACTATATTTGATAATTTAGTGATTTACATGCTTGAACAAAGTGTATTTAAATGGCTTCTTTCATTTGAGAAACTTTTGTTTTAAAGATTGAATTATATGATATGCATTGCTCTTGCTACTGAAACCTAGGGTTTGGATCTGCAACTAGAGATTGTTAGATATATTTCAGTAACTGCTAGAACATATTCACATTTATATATGGACATTTGCAACTAGAGATTGTTAGATATATTTCACAAATGTCCAATCCCATCCGCAGACCTGACACATTTATATATGGAGCTGTAGTGCACCTGGGTACGTGGCTCTTTAAATAGTGAAGGGTGATAGCAGGGAAAATACGAGAGCAAGATGAACCAGAAAAATATATAAGCAATATTTTATCCTCACAAGGGGTAATTATACAAGTGTTGAAGTTGTACAACCATGGATTTTACAGAGTACTACACATGGGTTTTGATGGAAGAACTGTATCCAGTTTGATCATCATGGTACTTATCCCACAACATAACTCCTCCATATTTTGCAGAACCTTTGATCGCTGGAAGAACTTTGGAAGTTAGGTCACCAACAGAGATATACCCGCTTCCTGCAGCCGTAGGTGATGCAGGCAGCCCCAAGAAAATCTTGGTTGCTGGGATCTCAGAAGTCCACTGTTTCCAAGAATCTTCAAAACTGGTCATACCTCCCGAATACTGACAAGGAGGGTTGTTATAGAACTGAACCCAAACATAGTCAAAAAGACCTGTTTTAAGGGCAGTTCCAATATATGCATCTGGGAAAGGACACTGAGGAGCTGCTGTCAAATATACCTTTTTGCCTTGACTGCTGTATCCAGAAAGATACCTGGCAAGGTCATCCCAGTGTTGGGTGGTTCCTCCTTCGATATCAAAATCGATTCCATCCAAAACAGCTTCTCCAAGAGGACGTGTGGATGATTTCCCTCCTAAGAAGTTATTCCAGAGGTAAGTGGCGACTTGTTTGGCATCTGAAGCAGAGGTGAGGTAGTAGCTCCCAGCTGCTCCTCCAATAGTCAGCATCACTTTGATTCCTTTAGCTTGACATGATTTGATTTCAGAGCTTAAATTGGTGCAGCCATTGCTGTATGGATCGCAGTGACCTGCAAGGTTAATCATGGGGGTTTGACCGTTTCCAAAAGTTGGAAGAAATGCAAGGTTTACGAAATCATAGTTCCCTGTCGAGCATGTCTCAGCCAACGTGCCCTCACCCCCGTTTTGACCCCAGTAGATAGCAATGCCACCAGCATTGATACCCACTGCTAGTAACAACATCATTGAAGAGAGTAATCCTAACTTGTATGTCATCTTAAGCCTTGGGTATGAATGATTGTAAGTTTAGGTAATTGTAGAAGAAGGTAATGATGTTCTTGAGTGTTTGAGAAGTCTGGGTTATATAGTGAAGGGATTGGCCTATTGGCATAATACTAATTTTTGAATATTTTTAGGAAAGCAAGCACCTTGGAGGGCACTGCGTGGAATCCTCTTTCAGCAGACACTTAATTGGTTGAGCTCGTTGGAAAACTTCTGTCTAGTAGCCAGGTGTGTCATGTATTTTGTCTGCATCTTGTTATATGCTTTATAAATGTTCTTAAAAAAGCCATTTTATGATTTCTTAATCCTATGTATCAAACAAATTTGTCTTTGTGCTATTGTCCCTGAGGTGTGGTCTCACGAATATATTCAAGTATATTACCTTGATCACCTTCTCTTGAGAATGCTATATTGTACTTTATGGCATTTACATAGCTTGTAGATTGTAGGAGCCAATAATCAACAAAAATATATCCATCCCTCCCTCAAATCTTATCCCTAGAGTATCGTTCAATATTTACAGTTTCCACTCACTCACCATATGCATTTTATAGTATACCAATCTATTAATATAGCCAGTAATCTATCACATGAGTTTATATCAACCGTAGTGAAAATCATATAAGATACCAATGGAACACTGTCCGTATTAAAATTATTAAAAAAAATTACTTCAGCAGTTGGTTTTAGAGTTTATAGGAATTTTTTTCAGTTTAACCGGTAATGGCACACGATGACAATGAGAATCAAATAAGATGGTCTTGTTCTATTATGTGGCCCCATATACTGGACATTACCTAAAATTATTTGCAAAAACAAAGTTTGGTTGTGGATTTCAAGCCACTTCCTAGAATCCTAGTATTGTTGATTATTGTCTCCAACAAGGCAACAATTTACCAGTCCATGGCATACATACAAGACAACAGAGCATTATGAAGAGAATTTAGTTATAATTAATACATTTATATTAGTACATACGATCATAGGTCAATGCCAATAACAAAGGAACAAACTTGATTATATCAATTTACCCACTAAATTATTATTAAAAAATCATAAAAAATTAATAATTTAGTAGCTAAAGTGATAATATGGTGAAATCCGGTAAATTTGTTTTTTTTTTAAACGGTAAAAAAGTATAATTATTCACTCATTAAGAGTGTAAAAAAGCAAATTTTGTCCGAGATTAAAAAACCATAATATGCTTCATTTTAGAAGATGGGTCTAAATTTAATGTGGCAGACAACAAAAAATAGATAATCCATTAAGATAATTCAACCAATCATTCATGTGTCCACTTCAAGATAATTCAACAGAGTGCCTTACAAGGTGCTTAATCCCTCAAGTAAAATTCAAAGACATTAGCATAAAAATACGCCTTTCACCATTATATAAATGGAACTTGTATTTTGAATCAGAACCACACATTTAACTCAAAGCGCAGTGTTAATTCGGTAACAAGGCAACAATGACATTCTATTCAGCATGTTCTCTTGCAATTTTGGCCTCATTTCTAGCAACACTAGCAGTGGGCTCTAATGCTGGTGGGATTTCAATTTATTGGGGACAAAATGGAAATGAAGGAACTTTATCCGACACTTGTAGCACAGGAAACTACGAATATGTAAACATAGCTTTTCTTTGGACATTTGGCAATGGGCGTACACCAAGGATGGACTTAGCTGGCCACTGTGATCCCTATAGCAATGGATGCACCAAATTAAGCTCTGACATCAAATCATGTCAAGCAAAAGGTGTCAAAGTTATGCTATCTATTGGAGGTGGGATAGGCAGCTACTCCATTGCCTCCAAGGAAGATGCTCAAGAAGTTGCTACCTACCTATGGGACAACTTTTTAGGAGGAGAAACAACTAGTATTCGCCCACTTGGCAACACGTCATTGGATGGAATAGATTTTGACATAGAATCAGGCGGAAGTCAACACTGGGATGATCTTGCAAGGTATCTTTCAGCATATAGCACCAAGAGTAAGAAGGTGTACTTAACTGCAGCCCCACAATGTCCTTACCCTGATGCATGGTTAGGGGGTGCCCTTCAGACTGGTCTGTTTGACTATGTTTGGGTTCAGTTTTATAACAATCCTCCTTGCCAGTATTCTGCGAATATTAGTAATCTTGAAGATGGTTGGAAGCAGTGGACTTCTGACATCCCGGTGTCCAAGATTTTCTTAGGACTACCCGCTGCATCTGAAGCAGCTGGAAGCGGTTTTATTCCTGTCAATGATCTTACTTCCAAAGTGCTTCCAGCAATTAAGAGTTCGCCTAAATATGGAGGTGTGATGTTATGGTCTAAGTATTATGATGATCAAACTGGATATAGTGCATCCATTAAGAAATATGTATGATGTTTTAAAGAACCAATGTTTATGTAATTATTGGTATATCCAACTCTGTTGTTAAGATATTCATATGCTATTTACTACGCTAGTCAAAATTTTCATGGTTATGTTCTACATCTCTGCAGATAGCAACCGTATATTGTACAAAATCCACACATATGGTGATTGTGTTAAATAACATGTAACATTGTTTTAGCACAATCTCTTTGAAAATGATATTATGTATTGACCTTGAAATTTTAAATCTTGAACTAATGTGAAGAGTCGCAGCTGATGTGATTAGTGATAGGTAATATTGTGTATTGATTGTATAGTGTGTGTATTATAGGTTAAAAGAGATCTCTAAATATAGAGATAAATATTACACTAAAGTATCCTCTAGTCTAATACAAGAATGTCAAATAATAGGCATTGAAACAGTGGGGTTTCTTATGTTATGCTCTGTACTTTTGACAAGGTTGTAGAAAGAAGGAAAACTTATTCATGTGTTTAGACCATTACCTAAAGGTGATGAAAATGCTTTTTATTTTCATTTACCATGAACATTAAATTTGTTTCAGGAATTTTTTACTCCACGAATGACATTTGGTTGGGGATTTCATACAACATAAACAAATAACAGAAATGCATACATGGCCAATTAACTTCGGATAGAGCATCATGAGTCAACGAATTTACAATGGAGTAAATGATAAGTGACATCTTAGTACAAAACACAAAGTTCAATTATTTCTGAAAATTAACCAGTTTTATGTCTCGGGTATGTAGTTAATAGTTATGCACTATCATAATTCATTTATTTTTACATTACGAAAAAAAGGAATTTGGGAATGTCAGAGGGCCATTTAGGTCCAAAAGTGAAATGTACATGTAGGACGGTATTACATTCTCAAGAGAAGTTCATCAAAGTAATATACTTAAATTAATTTCTTAAGAGCACAGGTCAATGACAATAGCATGGAGACAAATCTATTTTAATACCTTAGAAACAAACTCATAAAATGTTTTTTCCGGCTAATTATTATATACCAGATAACAAGAAACAGACAAAACAGATTACAAACCTGAGTACCAGCCAAAGCTTTCCAGTTTCCATCAATTTCAACCAATCAAACATCTGCTAGAATAGGATTCAACAGAGTGCCCTCCAAGGTGCTTCATTTCCTTCAAATATTTCAATAAATGGTAACATAAGCATGCCAATAGGCCAATCCCTTCACTATATAAACCAGAATTCTCAAACACTTGAACACACCATTACTTTCTACAGTTAACTCGAGTTACATACACACCCAAGGCTAAAAATGACAAACAAGTTAACATTACTCTGTTCACTGATGTTGTTACTAGCAGTGGGTATCAATGCTGGTGGCATTGCTATCTACTGGGGTCAAAACGGGGGTGAGGGCACGTTGGCTGAGACTTGCTCGACAGGGAACTATGATTTCGTCAACCTTGCGTTTCTTCCAACTTTTGGAAACGGTCAGACCCCCATGATTAATCTTGCAGGTCACTGCGATCCATACAGCAATGGCTGCACCAATTTAAGCTCTGAAATCAAATCATGTCAAGCTAAAGGAATCAAAGTGATGCTGACTATTGGAGGAGCAGCTGGGAGCTACTACCTCACCTCTGCTTCAGATGCCAAACAAGTCGCCACTTACCTCTGGAATAACTTCTTAGGAGGGAAATCATCCACACGTCCTCTTGGTGAAGCTGTTTTGGATGGAATCGATTTTGATATCGAAGGAGGAACCACCCAACACTGGGATGACCTTGCCAGGTATCTTTCTGGATACAGCAGTCAAGGCAAAAAGGTATACTTGACAGCAGCTCCTCAGTGTCCTTTCCCAGATGCATATATTGGAACTGCCCTTAAAACGGGTCTTTTTGACTATGTCTGGATTCAGTTCTATAACAATCCTCCTTGTCAGTACTCGGGAGGTATGACCAGTTTTGAAGATTCTTGGAAGCAGTGGACGTCTGAGATCCCAGCAACCAAGATTTTCTTGGGGCTGCCTGCATCACCTTCGGCTGCAGGAAGCGGGTATATCTCTGTTGGTGACCTAACTTCCAAAGTGCTTCCAGTAATCAAAGGATCTGCAAAATATGGAGGAGTTATGTTGTGGGATAAGTATCATGATGATCAAACTGGATATAGTTCTTCCATCAAAAGTCATGTGTAGTACTTTGTAAAATCCATGGTTGTACAACTTCACTTGTATCTTTTAGTAATTATTATGAACTATTAAGTAATCAAGATATTCCTAAATTTTGTCTATACTGCAGAACATTTTATCTGTTTACACTTGCAGGATATGTCCAGATCTTACAGGTAATCAGTTACTAAAAAAAATACTGCACTTAAGAGTATCCTGCTTTTGGTAGAAGTTAACAGCGAGCATAGGATTTGAATCCCCTTTCAATTGATTAACAATGCCCTATTTATATAGGGATAAATACAAACAACGGATCCCCAAATATAGTGGGGGTATAATAGGAAACAATACAATATTGAAATATATAATAGCCTAAAAATATAATCGGCTAATACTCCCCCGCAGTTTGAGCCGGGGAAGGACAAACGCTCAAACTGGATTGAAACTGTTGATATAAGAAACGTGGTAGCCCTTTTGTGAAGATGTATGCATACTGCAAGGAGGCCGGAATGTGAAGAACCCGAACATGACCAAGACGAACCTTTTCTCACACAAAGTGTATGTCTATCTTCACATGTTTTGTACGCTGGTGTTGGACTGGATTCTGAGACAGGTAGACAGCAGATACATTATTGCAATAAACAACTGTAGCCTTGGGAAGGGGAACACAAAGCTCGAGAAGGAGATTTCGTAACCAAGTGGTCTCAGACACTGCATTAGCAACACCACGATATTCGGCCTCGGCGCTGGAACGAGAGATAGTGGGTTGGCGCTTTGAAGACCAGGAAACAAGATTATTGCCAAGAAACACATAGTATCCAGAAGTAGATCGTCGCGAGTCGGGACATCCGCCCCAGTCAGCATCGGAGTAGGCAGTTAGCGAGTTGGCTGAAGATGCAACTATTTGTAGACCATAGTCAATCGTACCTTGTAAATAACGAAAAATCTTCTTCATGAACTGAAAATGTGGCTCACATGGGGCATGCATGAAGAGGCAAACTTGTTGAATAGCATATGCAATGTCTGGTCGAGTAAAGGTCAGATACTGGAGGGCACCTGCAAGAGTGCGGTAGAGAGTGCCATCAGCAAGAGGTTCACCATCAGTAGCACTAAGTTTCTTGGACGTATCCACCGGTGTAGCACATGGTTTACAAGAGGACATAGCAGCTCGTTGAAGGATATCACGAGTATAAGAGGCTTGTGACAGAAAAAGACCATGTTCATTGCGAGTAGCCGTGATACCCAGAAAATGGTGAAGTGGACCTAGATCAGTCATAGCAAATTCCTGAGACAAAGAGGTGATAATGCTGCGGAGAACAGCAGGGTCAGAAGCAGTCAATATTATATCATCGACATATAGTAATAGGTAAGCACGATGGCGACCATTTTGATAAATAAATAACGATGAATCACAAATACTACTTTGGAAGCCCCGAGATGTGATAAATGAAGCAAAACGAGTATACCATGCACGCGGGGCTTGCTTAAGCCCATACAAAGATTTTCTTAAAGAACAAACATGGGATGGAGACCGGGTATCAACAAATCCTGGGGGCTGGTGCATGAAAACAGTCTCATGGAGATCGTCATGGAGAAATGCGTTTTTGACGTCTAACTGATGTATCGAGATTGCAAGACTAAGAACGGTTCGTATAGTAGCTGGTTTCACAACCGGACTAAAGGTATCGAGGCAGTCAATACCCACTGTTTGTGATTTTCATTAACCACAAGGCGTGCTTTATAGCGGTCAAGCGATCCATCTGCTTTAAACTTGTGGCGAAACAGCCACATACACTGAATAACTGGGCTGTCGGTCGGTCGGAGAACGAGTTCCCATGTTTTATTTACCTGTAAAGCTCGAAATTCATCTTCCATGGCTTGTAACCAATTAGGGTCAGACATGGCGGCAGAAATTGGCTTAGGAATTGGAGAGATGGGTGGAGTAGATTAGGTATGAAGGTTTAAACGGATGATCGGTTTGATAACACCTGCTCGTGCACGAGTAGTCATAGGATGAGTAGGAGGCGGGGGGGGGGGGGGGGGCAGGGTTGAGGTGAGGTGGATTGAGGTGGGGTGGATGTGGGGGAAGGTGTTTCGGAAGGGAAAGAGCTTAATTGAGCAGGTGGATGGGTGGTGGTTTGTTTTGAGCGACGTGAGTAGGTCAAGATAGGTGGTTGAGGAGTGGATGTGGTATGGGATGGTGGTGTTGATGGTTGAGTAGGGGTAGTAGATGGTGTAGGAGCGGAGTATGGAAAAACATGAAAATGTTGGTCATCGAAAATGTCTAAGGAGGCGGATGGGGAAGGGCTATTGGCAAATGGGAAAGAGGTTTCGTCAAATGTAACATGACGGGATAGATAAACTTTGCCGGTGGAAGGATCAAAGCACCGATAACCCCAAAAGTTTTTCGGATATCCAAGGAAAACACATTTAACGGAACATGGTTGGAGTTTGTTAGATTGAGTGGCAGAGATGTTGGGATAGCAAGTGCACCCGAAGGTGCGAAGATGATCATATGATGGTTGGCGACCGTAAAGAGAGAAGGAAGGAGTAGAAAAGTTGAGGTGTTTGGTTGGGAGGATGTTATGTAGGTAGGTAGCAGTGTGAAGAGCTTCAACCCAAAAGGATTGGGGAAGAGAGGCGTGAGTGAGAAGGGTTCGGATAATGTCGTTGAGGCGACGAATCATCCGTTCGGCTCGTCCATTTTGTTGGGATGTTTGAGGGCAAGAGAAACGAAAGACAAGACCATGAGTTTGGGCAAAAGACTTAAATTCATTATTGTCAAATTCACCACTGAGATCGCATTGGAAAGACTTAATGGTTCGGTTAAATTGAGTTTGGATGAGT